AAAAAAAAAAATTTGTCCCGACACTTTTTTTTCTACATTTAAACGGCTGCCGTAGTTAAAAAAACACTATTTTTGTGTTAAAATTTTCGATTTTCGATTTTAAATTTTCAACTTAAAAATGCTATAACTTTTTGAAAAATGTATATATCAGCACAAATTTTTTTTTTCTAAATACATTATAAGTACATCTTTCATTTGACATACTTTTTATTAAAATTGGACAATTTCCCCTTATATAGGGGGCGTTCAAAACTTAAAATATTGTAAAAAACATAGATCTTTTTCAACTGAACTTTTGAAAATGTTCCGGAAATACTGCGTCCTTTAAACATATATCAAATCAAAGGTTATGTTATATACTATTAAATAAAAAAAAAAAATTTGTCCCGACATTTTATCTTCAAAATGTGCAAATGGCTGTCGAAAATTTAAAAAATAATATAATGTTTGCGATAAAAATTACATTTTATCGGGATGTTTTTTGTACTTAAAACTGCCATAACTTTTTCAAAAATGAACAAATAAAAATAATATTTTTTTGTATTGAAACCTTAGATATTTCCCTTTCATTTGATATAATTTTTTTTGAAAATCTAACACTTATTCTGCTCACTGGGAGGATTTAAAATAGTAACTTTTTTACAAAAAATAACTTTTTCAACTTAATTTTTGAAAATGTTCCGGAAATACTGCGTCCTTTAAACATATATCAAATTAAAGCTTATTTTATGTACTACAAAATGAAAAAAAAAAATTTGTCCCGACACTTTTTTTTCTACATTTAAACGGCTGCCGTAGTTAAAAAAACACTATTTTTGTGTTAAAATTTTCGATTTTCGATTTTAAATTTTCAACTTAAAAATGCTATAACTTTTTGAAAAATGTATATATCAGCACAAATTTTTTTTTTCTAAATACATTATAAGTACATCTTTCATTTGACATACTTTTTATTAAAATTGGACAATTTCCCCTTATATAGGGGGCGTTCAAAACTTAAAATATTGTAAAAAACATAGATCTTTTTCAACTGAACTTTTGAAAATGTTCCGGAAATACTGCGTCCTTTAAACATATATCAAATCAAAGGTTATGTTATATACTATCAAATGAAAAAAAAAAATTTGTCCCGACATCTTATCTTCTATGTGCAAATGGCTGTCGAAAATTTAAAAAAAAATGTAATGTTTGCGATAAAAATTACATTTTATCGGGATGTTTTTTGTACTTAAAACTGCCATAACTTTTTCAAAAATGAACAAATAAAAATAATATTTTTTTGTATTGAAACCTTAGATATTTCCCTTTCATTTGATATAATTTTTTTTGAAAATCTAACACTTATTCTGCTCACTGGGAGGATTTAAAATAGTAACTTTTTTACAAAAAATAACTTTTTCAACTTAATTTTTGAAAATGTTCCGGAAATACTGCGTCCTTTAAACATATATAAAATTAAAGCTTATTTTATGTACTACAAAATGAAAAAAAAAATTTGTCACGACGATCTATCTTCTATACGCAAATGGCTACCATATTGAAAAATATACTATTTTTATATGATAATTATGGGTTTTGTTTTTTATTTTAATAGAAANTGATAATTATGGGTTTTGTATTTTATTTTAATAGAAGTTGATGTTGCTTTTGCAATTATCCATCAATTTTTTAAAATTAAACACTATCTACAGATTTGCATCGAAGCGTTTCTTATGATAGTGATTTTAATCACTGTCAGATTAAATCTATACTGGACCCTACTATGCAATGTCTCCACTATTATTATTTTAGTTTATTGTTGCTGTCAGCCCTATACATGCTTATGTTTTTTAAAATAATATTTTCGTGTTATATTTCAATGAAATATGATTATTAATAGTTTTATATTTAGTAACAAAAACATTTATATCACACTTTTATACCAACACTCAATATAACTAAATGACATAAGTTATAGCTAATAATTATTAAATAAGATTCAAAACTAACTTTAGGTTAGGTATAAAGTAATAATGCTATTTTTATTTGTTACATTCAAATTGATATTCAACTAAAAAAATTACTAGAAATATTTAATTAATTTTTAGTAGATTTACAAATATTTATTACCTATTTTAGTTTTTAAATTTATAGTTACAGTAAATTTATTTAATTTTAGTTTTCAATGACTGCTTTCATTTCCACAAAGGATATTATTTTAAATTCTAATCCAATACAAAAATAATTCACACCTGAATTAAGTTTTATTTTTATCATAATATACAAAAATAAAAGTAGTACAAAATAAATATTGTAAAAGCATAGAACTCTACATAATTTTTCTGCGCTTTTCCAGTAGTTAAGTAAATGTATTTATAACATTATTATAGTTAATTTTTTGTTTTACAATGTGCTCAATGCTCAATTTATCCAAATTTAATACGTTCTTGCTCAAAGTCATTTTTGCCTCCAAACTATTCACACGATTCATTTGCACTACATTTTATTTTTTAAAAATGTTCCTCATTTCTGAAAGATGAAATATGTAAAAAACATGTTGAAACCATATCATGTGCAGTTATTAAATCAATTTTAGAACTTAGTAAATAATTTGGTAAAATATAAGCTTTTCCAAATATATTTTTCCATTAAATTAAGTTTAAAATTCACCATTTGAAAGAGTAATCCTTGTGCTACTGAAATAATTTTTAATTTTATATTGAGAAATTCTCTATCAGCAATTCACTGTAATGAGTTTCAACAATTTCTGGCAAGTTTATTTACATCGAGTCTACTGCACGTTTATGACTCGCCCATCTTGTCTCTGAAATTACTTTAGTGTTAATACTAGTCCATCAATTTTCTTTTGTTCTTCTTCAAATATTTTTAGTCATGGTAAACATAGTTCAATTTAAATGCAGGGGTGTTTTAAATAGAGCGATTAATGCCCGTATTTTTAAAAAAATTGTACTCTCACGTTTAAATACCTTTTTAGACATCATTTTATATGTTTACCAAAATACATATTGTATTTAAAAAAATTTTATGTTAAGCTTGGTTCCAATTATTTGTCTAATTGCCGCACATAAGGCGAATACCGAATATTCGTCTACTAGCATAAGTAGTCAAATATAATTGTATTGTTATATCATTGTCAAACGAATTTACCATTTCAAAATATCAGCATCTATACGCTGTAAAATATTAATAGTATATCATTTATATAATCTGTGGTAGAAGTAACATAGATAATGCTAATGTTAACATTCTTTGGCCTGTGCAATATATTGACTTTAATAATATATTGTACACTATTTCAACAAATTCTATGTTTAGGNACACTATTTCAACAAATTCTATTTTTAGCTGTGGAATACTATCTGCTCGTTATCATTGTGAATTTGCACTTTTTCTACATGGAGAAATAAATCTGTATTGTAGCAGAACTGTTATTTTTTTTACTTTTATATTAATTTGTTGATAAAATAACGAATTCAAAATTATTTTTTATATTTAATGAAAAATCCTGAAACAGCGGTGACTCTAATGAAGTAAGAAATAATTAAAAACCATATTACATAATCTACAAGCAACTCGGAATTTGATTTAGGTAATTTACAGTCTGGTCCAAAAAGATCCATATTAGAGGTAAATCATGTATATAACTAACAGCATAGTATTTATATTGTTTATTAAATATATATTTTAATTGCTATTAAGCCTATTATTAATAGCTAATGAATTATATTTAGCTAATTCCATTAACAAAACCATGGCTTCAATCCTTTATTTTAGTAGGTTGAATATTTTTGTGTATGACATAATTATTGTTCAAAAATTAACTTATTTGTTTTTTATATTTTTGAGTTATGTGGATCTAGAGGTCTTAAAAATGGAAAACTAACAAAGCATGATACTCATTCTAGTACAAAAAGTCATTTAACTTGTAAATAACTGTTAAAAAACTGACACTGTTCATACCCAGCTAATAACTCAATCTAAACTAGAAGTTGCTGCTAATAGGAAATATATGAAAAGTATAATTGACATAACAATTTATTGAGTATCCAAAGAATGGCCCGACACAATAAAAATAATTCATCATTAAATCAACGTTGGGAACTAATTTAAGTAATCTAATCACCTAATAATAAGTAATTAAAACTAAGAAGATATAATTATTAATTTCTTAATAAATAATTTTTCTTGGGAAATTTCAACGAAACTTGTGTTTTATTTTCCAAGCATATGCCTCAGTTTTTTGAAATATTCAACAAAGAAACAAATCACACGAGTCACCATATTCAAAATTAAATAATTGAAATATGTGCAAACAGAATAAGAGATTCAATTATAGAAGACATTAGTACACAGACTTTTTGATGAAGCAAGGTAATAAATTTAAAAATGAGCATTAATAAACACTAATATTACTACAAAATTTTTGCTTTATTTTTAGATGTTATAAAGAAGAACAAATGTTTTATATTATTTTAAAACTTGTAAATTAAATACTAAAGCTCAAATAATTTCACAATACTATGTTTATGTTAACATCATGTCTGCTACTTTAATGAAGTCAATCAAAAATTAGAATTAAATTTTCAAAAGCGATTTTTACTCATTGTATGTTCATAGAATAAATCTTTTGGTTGCAGATATTTGAAAAAATATTCAAGTAAAAATCAATATTAATAAAATGTGTTTTTTTTATTAAAATATTAAAAAATTTTAGGAAACTAAGTTTTTTAACATGATTAAATATATATGTGTTAATTTTTCTCTTCCCCAAAGAATTGTCAATTAGTTGAATTGGAAAAAAACTCGGATATAAAAACAAAACTATGGGCTAATTAGTAATACTAGATGGATTTGTAAATTTAAAACCTGTGAAGCCATTAAACAATGTTTCAAGAGTATTCGTATTGTACTTAAAAGAGAAATAGAAAATAAAGCTGATAGAGATGTCAATGAAGCAAAAGGTATAATTTATAGACCACAATTGTTTTTATCCAATTTATGTAAATTTTTTTATATTAAAATTGGTAATTTCTGTAATAGTATTCTGTAAATTATTTTTGATTATTCAAAATTACAGTTGTCATAGAAACAAACGACTTTTAAAAAACAGACATTTTCTTAGTAAATTTGTGTTATTTTATACCTTTTAAAAAAATTAATTATCTTTTTTCTCGTTTATACAGGTTAATTAATTATATTATTAATGATTATTTTTATTAGCAAGTGATCAATGTTTGATGGGATGTACATTATGTCTTATATGTTGATTCAATGTGTTTTAATAAAATTAAAATTAAAATACAATTTTCAATAGTTATAAAATGCAGTACGATAAATATTCTTTGTTGGTTAACTTTCAAATTTATCCCAAGTAAGTACATTTAATCAAATATTCTAAAATATTTGAAAATTCAATAAATTACTAAAAATACAGATATTTATCAAGGAATTTTTTTTTAATAATTAAACTTTATCCAGAGAAAATGTCATTATAAAAATATAACATTTTATTATTGTAAAAATACATTGGTTAAATTATTAAATAATTGCTGTTTATTTATCATGTATATTTTAAAAACCGTTCATCAAAATGAAAAAATATTTTTTTGTTTTATTTCCTAGTTATATTGTATACTTTATTTGTATATTAGTATTAATAGTTATGATTACTAACAATAATAATTTATGAAGAGGGTCAAGAATAATACAGAAATCTTATTTTTAAATAGTTATGATTTGTATTACAAAATTTTATTATTTTTTAATAATTTACTGTTGAAAAATTGTGTATATATTCAATGAGGTACAATTAAATTTTTTTATTTTAGTATTATTTGAATAAAAAAGTTTGAACATTGGTAAATTATTAGTTTTAGTGATTAATTTTTGTGATATTATCCAAAATCTGATACGTACCCAATATTATAATATGAATTTTTTCATAAGACAATTGGTACTTTATGTAATGGCTTACTATTTTTCTTCCAAAAATGTTTTATAAAATCGATAAATTATCTCTCAGATTTAACGTTGGCCATTCTATTTCTCTTGGAAAAAATATTGAGATTCAACTTTTATAGGTGAATATTTTTTCTGTATACTTTTAATAATAATTAATTTATCATTTGGTTTTTTAATTATAACAAACTATTTAATATATTATTAACATAATTGAATGTAATTCAGAAAAGTTGTAAGAAATATTATATCAAATGAAGGCTAGATTTAATAATTCAATTTGGCTGATAGATTATCCAAGATGTTTTTTAATAATTTTATATTTAAACTCTAAAATTATTAGCTATGTAATAATTTTTAAGTTCATCTCGAATGCCTTGTATGTATGTCAATATTGTTTTTTCAAATGAGTACAACAATTTTGAATTAAATGAAATGTTTGCAGTTTTATTTTAATATTATGACATTCCTATTTTTAACAGAACTTTATTCGTTTATTCAATATAAAACATTACATTTTTAAACTTTTGATTTAATATACATGTAGAATATACTTTCTTTTAATTATAATATTCTGTATTAATAAAAATGTCATTGAAGAAAATAGAAAAAGAGACAGGCCTTTGATGACATTAGTTTTAAAATATTGCCTTTGCTATCTAATATCAATAATTTTTACAACATAACTACTTGCTAGTATTCTTGTTTATACAAAATTACAATTAATATAAAAACAAATGACTTTTAATACACATTGACACTTTATAGTAAATTTGACCTATTTTATACTTTTTAATAAGATTAATTTTTTTCTTCTGATTCATACGAATTAATTAATTATATTAGCTAGTATTCAATGTTTCATGGAATGTACGTTAAATTTTAAACAGTGACGCAATTTGTATTGAAACGTATTACAATAGTGATTTATATCGCTGTTAAATTTAAATCTAATCTGGTTTACCATTTCGCTGGAACTTTTCTAAAGGCACATCTAGAATAAAATTTCAGTGGGTGTTATTATTAATTACTCACCCTAAAGAATATTTTTATTTAAGTACACATATATCCTACAATTTTTGTGAGGTCAATATCTCATAGCTACTAGTTGCGCCTATACTACTGTATGTATTAGATTTTTGGGATACACTTCACTACAGTTTAGACTACTTTAGACTTTCTATCCAAAATAAAAAATGTTGAATATATAAATTGTGATATACGAGATTTGATATCTTAGATAAAAAGTGATGTACATTAATTGATTGAAAATCTTAATTGGCTATATGAAATTTAAACAAAAAAGTTTGTTCTTTAGTTAATGGTACCTCTTTTTTTATCATAACCTATACATACATATATATTATATTATGTATATTGTATTATATATAGAGTTTTCAGTAAGTAAGCGAACGGCTTCATATTGTTCTCATTGTTGGAACAATTGGCTTGCTTCCTTATTTACTGAAAACTCTGTATATATACATATGAATTTGATTTTGAGAACTGCCTATAAAAAGTCATATTGATATATGAAAGTTTGTTTATTTTATATTATTCTTTCGAAACAAACGATGACTTTAATCTTATAATATAAAAATAGCGGGCTGTACATAGTTTGATATATCGAGACAGTTATGTCACTAGTACGCGCTATAAATTTGCAAATGTAAAAAAAAACTGGCTGTACTATGCTAACATTTTTAGAAAGAAATGTCGCATGTACGAGTTTTAACATTTGCTATAAAAAAGTCATTTGTTATATGTATCTTAAATAAATTATTACATTCACAATTATTTTACAAGGCTATTGAATTGTGATAATTTTAGTGGTATCTTTAATCTAACAACAGAATTTTTTTATTTTTATTTCACATAGTCAAATAATATTTATATTAATAACTGCGTTTTTTTTTTATTATTAAAAACACTAAATTTCTCGTACATTATAATTTATGTAATCAATATTTTTTGGTGGGTAAAAACGCAAATGAGATTTGATGAATTTAAAAATCTAGTACATTTAGTAGTGAAGACATAGAGGCTAAGGGACATTGACCTAAAAAAAAAATGTAAGAAAAATATGTGTTAAATAAAAATATATTTTGGTGTGAAAAAATAATAATAACAAATACCTAAGGTTCTACTTTAGTTGTAACAATGGAAAGATGCCGGGATAGTGGAAACCCGTTTAGATTTAAATTTAACAGTGATTAAAATCACTATTGTAAGACGTCTCATTAAGAATGTGCCCAAGAAGTTCTGTATTCGTGTCGGACCTAGTTTAGGACGAATTAAAATTTTTATTTAGTATGGATCATTAGTATAGTTAAAAAAATATATCAAATTTAGTTACCAACATTAACTATTAACAACTATACTAGTATCTGATTAGCACTAACGACTCTACGACTGTACTATGAGTATGTGGCGCGCGGATGTAAATAAACCAATTACACACTTTTCTTAAATTAATTAAAAATATAACGAAGGCAATCGACATTTTACCACGCTTGCCGCAACTTACCTTTATTGATCTGATAACGTAGCTCTGACAGTATTATTGTGGTTACTAAATTAAATATTATTATTTCGGGTTGTGTACACTCGCTGCCGTCGCTCACCTAATTTGGACACCACCAACAGAATAATGATATTGTTGGTGATCAATTTTTGCATTTTAATACACAATATATTGCATTATAGAACTTACCTTTCAGCTGTTCGTGCGGCGCTCTCGTAAGTGATGACGCTGCCCCTAAAGTAAAACTGGATCATTCGAATGATGCACAGAGTATCCCGAAATGCGTTCAGCTCTTCGAGGATGTGTGACCATCGCACTGAGTTTAACGCGTTTCGTATGTCTATGTACATTGCCGCTCCGAAGCCCTATCCGTTCTTTGCTTTAAAGAAGGAAGTCGCGTCGTCCGTGGACGTCCTCTCATGAAATCAAATTAGCCTTCGGCCAGTCCGTCAACGTTGATCAGATTGATTTCGAGCCGAGTAACCAACAGCCTCTTGAGGATCTTCCTCAGATCGTCCAACACACGAAGAAGTCGGTATGATGAGGGGAATCCCTCGAGTTTATCACTCTGTCTTTGAAACACCAACCTGGCCTTCTTCCACTGCAGGGGGAATTTATGGAATTGTATAAATATAATATTTTTCAAGATCATTTAATAAGTATACAAAATTAAAAANTTTTCAAGATCATTTAATAAGTACACAAAATTAAAAAACCATAAACAGGTTTTATTCTAAATTCACACGATTGTACATTGTCTGGAATAATTTTTTGAGATTACAAATTGCCTTTTCGATTTTTTTAGAGTACAAGGTATCCGGTGTGTTCCATCATATACATGATAGAGTACATTCGGTTGCATATCTCCCGTTAAATATACACAACATAACTTATTTTTTTTTAAATAAACAGGTGCAAAGATGTCAATTTAACTTTTTTTTTTTTGGTCCAAAATTTGTGACCCTTTGTGATTAAGTTACTATTAAAGAAATTAAATTATCTCTGGCGGGGTGTGGATAAAAGGGTTTATTTAAAATAGATCTGTACTAAACTTACTAATAGTCATGATCTGCTAGAACATTTGCGTGAAAGAATAAAATAGAAAACTAACTATATGTGGCGGTCGAATGTTCTAGAATGTTCGGCCGCCGCCGCTTCTAGAAGATTCC